TCATTCACATAATCCATGTCCTTTGTGACTGGCTTCTTTCAATTTGCATAACATTTTCAAGATTCATCCACGTTGTAATATGTATCAACAGTCCATTCCTTTTTATTACTTTTTATGTCACATTTAAGAAACTATTGCTTAACTCAAGGTCCAGAAGATGTACACCTGTTTCCATCAAATATTTTATAGTTTTGAATCTTAAATTTAGTCTGTGATCTAATTTTTACATGTAGTGGGAGGTAGGCATCCAGTTCCATCCTTTTTCTTGCACGTATCCAATTGTTCCTGTAGAAATAATTTGATTCTTCGCAGTGTGCTTCCTCTGAGAAAGCATTTTCATTTGCCTCTGTCACGTGCTTGGAGGCATTAGCTCTTCCAAAGTCAGTTTGATTTTAGAGCCTGAGATTTTTAGAGCCACTCAGGTAACTTGAAGCCTGCCTACAATCCATTCAAGGGCAGGTTTGTATTTGTTTGACTTATTCCAAGATACCGTGGAGTCCCTGGGGTCCTTGGGGTCCCACTCCTGATTTGGGTGTTCTGCGAGGGACCTCATCTTTGGCGTGCCCTGGACTCCAGCCTTCAGCCCCTAGTGCCCCAGAGCTGCCACAGGTGCTACCTGACCTCACGCTGCCTGCACAGAAGTGGCAGAGGCGGTGCCAGCTGCCAGTCCGCCCCTCTGGACTCCATCTTCTGGACTGTGGCCCTGGAGTGCCTCACTGTGGTAACAGCACTTTCACGTTCGTGGGGAGGCGCTGTGTGTGCTTTCTCTTGCTTTCCTAGCTGTTTTCATCGGGGCAGATTGGTCCGGACCATCGCGCCCATCATCCACTGCTAGTGCCTGCTTTGAAACAAGGGCTGGGAGGGGAGGGAGGACCTCACGAAACACTTAGAAGAATGGGTTCGGTAACGTGCGCGCGGCCGTGAGACCTTACACCTCCCGGCCCTCTTATCCCCCAGCAAAGGCTAAAAGCCAGACGACCGGTGAGGCAGTGGCTTCTCTCGCGTCTGCACTGCGAGAGGACGAGGCCAGCTCTCGCCTCTGCGGCGGGAGTCCTGTGGTCAGGGGCTGCCGCCGCGTCGGCCTCCCGTCCAGACAGAGCGCCAACGTGCCACGCATCAGCCACACTGCTACCCGATGTCTTTAAAGCCCTTTAAAGCTTACGCGGCACTTTACCTCCGTCGTTGGCGCCTGATCCTCAGGACAGCTGCCCAAGAAAGGTGTCGTTACTAGCAGTTTACAGGTGCGAGGCCGGCCGCGGCGCAGGTTGGCGGGCTCCTGCGGAGCGGAGTGGGCGCGCAGCCAGAGCTGACCACGTTCTGAGCTGGCCCCGCTCTGCGCTCTGCGCTCTGCGGCCGTCCGACCGCGCGCCACTTTCTCACTCCTTCCATCCGTGCCCTCAGCACCATCCCCTCGGAAAGGAGGTGAGGAAGGATGGACTAGGCAAGGCGCTTTCCTCGTGATTCTGCTTTCCTCGCCTCCTCCTGGGCACCTGCGTCCGTCCTTCCGCATTCTTGCGTTTGCTGAGTCCCTAGTGGGAACAAGAAAGGCCACTGTGAAACCTAAGCTCTCTCGTTTCCTTTATTCTTCCTGCTGTTGAGTATTTCACGCACACTCCATTCTTACTGACTGGGTACAGCAGGAAGTCACGTGCAGTGTCACTGGGTTTTACTGTTTCACTGGGAAATGGCATTGAGCTGACAGTGCAGCTCACAATGGGCAATTAAAGACAAAACTGTTTCAAGGTGTCAGATGCTGGTGGAATGAAATCCTCTTACATATTATTCCACATGCTGTGAGATACAGATCAGAGCCACTTGGCTAATTATGCGATGACTCTTTGTCAGTGGAAGCCTAATTGCAAGTATTTTTATCACTTGCTGATATTTCTTAAAAGAGAGGTATATAATAAATGGTAAATTACCTTTTTCTAGAGATTAAGTTGATTAATTACTCTATTTGATGTTTATGCCTTCTATTACATATTACAGTATCAGAAGCTAAAAGCTGTGATTAGAAATGAAAGTCAGATGACAAAATTAATTTTAGTCAATCAAGAATTTTATTTTTGAAAAACCAGTGAAGACCCAAGTTTACTTTCTTCCAGATATTGTCATAAGGTCAGCTGCCTTATCAGAATCACCTGGAAATTTTAAAAACATAGATTCCCAGTGATTCCGATTCATTAAGGTCCTACGGATCTTTTTTTTTTCTTTTTACTTTTTATCTTTTATCCTTTTCGAGATCTGAAATGCTAGGGATGTAATTGAAACTCGCTTCCTCTTATTAATTCTCTCTCCTGCTTCAAAGGTAACTTTTATCTTTATCTTTGAATTTGGTCTTTATTATTATCTAGGTATGCTTTTCAAAATACTTTTTACTTTTGTAAAAAAGTGTTCGGTGTGTACTTATAAATGAGAAGTGATACTGTTTTCGTTTGTCTTGCCAATGGGTTTCAGCCCCAGGCAAGTTCACTATGGATTCAATAAGACCGAAAATGACAATGGAATGTTCTTGGGGTGAAAGGGTTTATACCCAACTTTATTCCCACGGCGGCAGGTCAGTCACTAGAATCCCGTCCACTCAGAGCAAGTCTGCAGGCAGCAAGCCGGTCTCTGCCCCTGGGCCTCTCTGCCCGCACAGCCGTCCTCTGGGCCTCTGTCCTCACTCAGCGCTGCCACCGCTCCAGCCTCTGCTCTGCTCTCCTGCAGCCTTGCAGCTGTGCCACTGTGTTGCTCAGGGCACTGCGCAGGGCTTCTTATATAGAGTCAATAATAACTTATTGCCCACACACGTGTAGTGAGCTAGCCGACCAGGGCCAGGTGAGAATCCTGCCCACAGGAACCTTTATTTTATCCACAATCTGTTTTTAAGGAGCCTCCCAGATGACTGAGGAAAAGCTAGGTTTGTAATCATTGCTTTGGTTCAGCCTACTCATTTTCCTTTTGATAGAAGGCCTCCTGGAAAAGGATTTAAGATGTCTGATCCAACTCATTTTGCAGTTAGATAGGCAGTAAGGTAACTGGCATCCCAAAACCATTTTGAGTAAAGTTTTATTTGATTTTTATAATTGCTTCCAAAACTCAATGTAATAAACATGAAAGACCCAAGAGAGGAATACAAGAGCTATTATCGCGTAGGGACAGCAGCACTACTGAACAGTCACTCTGCGCTCTGACCGCAGCCCCGCCAGCTAGCTGTGTGTCTTGGATGAGCTACTTCGCTTCTCTGTGCCTTGGTTTTCTCCTCTGTAAAATGGGAGGGAGGGTCATAATGGCATCTGTTTTCTAAGTATTTGTGAGGGTAAATAATACTAAGGCACCAGTCATTTAGAAGAGCACCTCATATATAGTGAGCATGTGTAGCATGTGTGTAAGTGTGAGCTGCTATCATTATTGCCATTTTTGTTCTTGGTATTACACTACTGTTTCTCCATCTCAACAGACTTCAGACTCCTGCTGGAAACAGCTAGGAAATCAAGATGACAGCAGGATGTGTTTAGGGACCATCACTTTTTCCCAGGCTTCTTTGCCCAGACCTGCAGGGATTGGGGCACATTATCCTCCTGCGTGCCCGGAGTAGGAGCCGTCTGCTGAATGATCCGCCATGTCCTCTGTTGCAAAATGAATTAATAAACATCCTAAAACAACCATCTTAGTTTATGCCAAAGAGAATACTTAATGGAAATTGGCTGCACTCTATACCACCATGTTCCCATTCTAACAGAAATAGTAAGGGTCCTGGTACTGGCATCGATCAGTTTCACCCGTGCTTTCCTGCTTTCCCCTGCCCTCCACTGGGTCACACCGTAGGGGCTTCACAGCTTTTCATGTTTTCAAGTAGCAGTGGATGAACAGAGCTGAACAGCGTTCTCACAGTGATTTTAATGTGCTGTGAAGGGATCGTGGTTTTGCCAGTATTCTCAGGAAGAATTGTGAACAGGCCCATTGTAAACGCTGATGACCATAGAACCTGATCCTGTGTGTCTGAGAAAGGTCTTTTGTGTTTTACCGGGCATTTGCTCTTACTGGAGTCTCCATTCCTCCTGAAGGTGTGGGCCCCCATCCAGTATAATTCCCCTTCACCCTAGATGAATTATTTAAAAAGTTTTGAATATAATTTGTGGCAGAGCAGTTCTTCTAGAAATAAACCTTTCAGCTTCGTCTGTCTGGAAATGTCTTTATTTTGCCTTCTCTGTTGATGAGAAGTTTGCCGTCAGTTGTTCCTTTTCTTCCTGCCTTCGCGGTAGCTTCTTGGGTTTTCAGCAGTTGACTGGGTGAGGTTTTCTTGTTTTTTATCTTTCTTGGTGTTGAGCTTCCTTGTTCTGTGGGTAATGTTTTCATCAGTTTTGGAGCATTTTTGGCCATTATCTCTTCAAACATTTTTTCACCTTATTTTTTCCCTCCATGTGTATGGATGTTCATTGGATACATTCCCGTAGATCAGGAGGCCGTGTTCTGTTCTCCTCGCCCTTCGGAGAGTTCCAGTTTGGGTGGGTGCTTCTGACGGAGCCGCCCTCAAGCGTACCGTCCTCCCCTCTGTCTGTTCTGCTTCAGGCCCATCTCATGAATTCTGCTTTTGTGATAACTTACTTTTCATTTCTAGCATTTTTCTTTTTCTTTTTTTATAGTTTTCATCTTTTTGCTGAAATTCCCCATCTCTTCATGAATGTCCACCTTTTTCATGAGTGATTTTAGCATTTCTGTTGTAGCTAGTTTAAAGTCTTTGAAAATTCTAATGTGTGGGCCATTCCTGGGACTGTGTCCATTGGATTCGCATGAGTTTTCCTTACCTTCCGCACATTTTGTGCACAAGAATAGCAGAGATGCAGGAAGAGATACTGAAGGACTCTTTACTTGGAGAATTTAGGCCATTTGGGCATCTTTGCATCCTCACTGCACTGAGTTAAGAAATACTATTAATTTTTAATGCCTCTCCTCCTTATTTAATTGTCAAGGTGAGAGTGATGGCCTGCATGTCTCCTATATGGAAACCAGGGTCAGAATACCCCACACCTTCTTTTCTTCTTCATCAGTCTTGCCAGAAGTGTATTCATTTCATTCTCTAAAAAAAAACACATTTTGGCTCTGTGGATTTTTCTCTGTAGTACTATTGTTTTCTAGTTAATTGAGTTCTCCTCTGCTTCACTTCTACTTTCTTTTGGCTAATTTATTATACTTATTTAGACTTTTGAAGTTCATACTTAGGTAACTGGTCTTTAGCCTTTTTCTTATATATATTCATTTAAAATGATATACTTCCCTCTGTGCACCATTTTTTTTATTAAGTTATCATTGATATACACTCTCATGAATGTTTCACAAGAAAAACAATGTGGTTACTACATTCACCCTTATTATTGAGTCCGCCCCATACTGCACTGCAGTCCCTGCCCATCACTGTAGTAAGATGCCACCGAGTCCCTACTTGTTTTCTCTGAGCTACACCGTCTTCCCCGTGACCCCCCCACACACAACGTCTGAACAGTTTTAACTGCATAGGTTTTGAGTTTTCTGTTTTTGTTACCATTCAGTTAAAAATATTTTCTAATTTCTGTTTGTTTTCCTTTTTGACAAGTGGTTTATTTGGGAATATATTGCTTACACTCCAAATATTTGGTGATTTTTAAAAATTATTTGCTTTTAATTCTAATTTAATTCCTTTAAAGTCATTGAACTTTATATGATTTCACATGGCAGAAATTTGTAGACTCATTGTTCAAC